TTTTTCCTATTGGATTGGTGGACCAACATGCTTCTATTTATTAATAAAAGGATTTTCGACCCTAAGCATTTTTTGGCTAGCAAATGATAAGCATTTTATTAGTTTCTTTTTGGGCATATATATATTTTTTGCATATATTGAAAAAATATTTATTTTTTTTCTTTGGATAGATCATTCTATGAAATTTCCAGAAGAGGTTGTTCTTTGGTTGCTAAAGTAAGTTTCATTTGAATATTTCTTTTCCTCTTTTTCTTTCTTTACTAACTAAGCTTGTTCTCTTATTCGGTTCAGGTCACCAAATTCCAGAGATATACCCACTCTAATTGGGTTGTCCCGGAAGCACAATTCTGCAAATGTCAATAAATTAGGCTTCGCAGGAAAAGCCGATCATTGATCAGCCTGGCATGGATCTGAACACGTGAAGAAAAAAGTACGTAAAAAATGAATGTTTAAGCCGACTAATTAAAAATGAAGGACACATGCACTAGCAAAACAAAAATAATAATAAATCATGAAAAAGTCTGATATAAGTCTTGTGATCATGATCCTAACTGTTTTATGTGATCTTCTTGGCCAAATTAGAAATTTGGAGTGTATGACTTTAATCGTGCAAGAGTAACAAGTTACAGTATTTAATTTAAAGTACTGCTGCTGTTAAATAATTAAAATTACCTTTTTTGGTTTTTATTGTCACACGATATTATTTTGCGTCACCGGAATTATATGCTGGCCAGTATTAAGAGAATGTGGCAGCAATAAATTTAAAACTTAATTTGTCCAGTTTACTGTGTATTTGGTTGCAAATTCTAAATTAATACTAAAATTAAACCGAATTACTTGTTATAGGTTTACTTCGTGTTTTTTTTGAAAATTTAGTGAACGCGGAAAATTATTTCATTTATTTTTTATTTCAATATTTATATATTTCTGCTATGATAGAGGCGAATACGTACTATGGTTAAAGACGAATTCTTCCCTTCCATACGTTTAAATTCACTGTACCGAACAATTATTAATTTGTTTTTGAAGCAAATAAACTTTTATCCTCAAATTTTAAATTAAATTAATAAATTGCCTAAACTTGTATCTTGAAGGTTTTTTTATTAATAATTTGTATTATATAGCAAGCATATTAATCACTTGATACATAGCACCAACACCACTATTGCTTTCAATTTATCAATTGAAATTCATATCGTAATAAATTCTTTTTATTTGTCATCACGCTTTCGATCAGCTCATGTTAGATCTATTAGGGCATCAAAATTGGCCCTGTAATAGTTACTTGTTAAGTTGCTTTCCCTCGAATTTAAGGGTAGGGTATTCTTGTTAAGCATATGAAATTGCATGAAAAAAACGTGCAAATTTGATTGTCACCCATTTTACATTTCAAAGTGTTTACATGCGCAACAGAAATACGAATTATCTTCAATAGTTCCTAAATATACTGTATTTAATTCTCGTTGATGATCTTTATTAAAGGAGCCTTACTATTATTGGATGGGTTGTGCCATTTTTTTAATTAAATACTAATTAAATACAAATACATGAACTGTTGTGGTAATGCGATTTTATGAGACAAGCTAAGACATCGCAATATAATTAAATGTAAAAAGTCATAGATGTACTATAGAGTCATCAATGCGTTACTAACCAATTTACTTTGTCTAAGAGTCATTTTATTGGTTTTATTATACACTTTATTGTTTACAAACAAGTGTTGTAACGTGGCATGATTATCGTAACGCTTAACACGAACTAATAAATAATAGAAAATTTTTGAATAATGACGATTTAATTATCCAATCATCTTAGTACACGTAATTATAAATAGCAAGTCATAACTACTCACATTCGCGTCAAACTAAAAAATAAAAGCAAGAAAAATTAGGAATAAGATGAAAGAATGTTAAAACTTAATGACTCATAAATTGTTTGATTATCAAATTCTATGTGGATAAAATATCATAAAAGAATAAAGGATATAATCATTGATATAAATTAGCCAAATGGAGGACTTCGAAAATCCAACCTATAATTGCATTATGCGCATGACTGTCATCTCGGGTCAATTAATTAAACGGATACATTGCCACTAATTTCAATCGATGCACGCTGTTTACCTTTTAATTAAAAGTTCCTCAAAAAAGAAAAAAAACATATCTCACATACAACATTTTCTGTCTGTGTTGACCTATAATAACCATGTGACATATTACAATTATGTCATATGCGACCTAAAATAATAAGTACTGCTTATCAGCTACATTTGTTACGTTATCTGAATTATTATATCTGACTTAATCTTTATGTCATTAAAGGAAAAAAAACAAAAAAATTCATAATTATTAAATAAATTGATTTAAAAAAATATTAATTGTAATACCAGCTTAATTAGAATTACTAAGTTCATTGTTAGAATTGCTAAGTTCATTATTAGAATTACTTAATTCATTTAATTGCTTGTTTAGACTTAATTAATTGCATATTTAAATTCATTGATCAAATCCAAATTTGATCAAAATTTAATCTTGTATACATAGAAAAATTTGAATAACGTTTGGCAAACAATTTTGCGTATGAGTTAATAAGCAGTCTATTGTGAGGGGTGGATTTGGGGCTACCGGGTCCCTCATGGTTAAAGCATAACAAACGTAATGCAAAGACACAAACAACTCGAAAGAACAGCGTGGAAGATTTGGTCCGAGAACCAAGGATTCTACTGCCACTAAGATTCTGGTTTTAAGATGTGTCTTTATTAATATTCTATTTCTACTTACCTGTCTTTTTATCATCAGAAATTACAGGACTTTTATACAAGAGAAATAAGTGGAGGCTTTGACACAGCCTAACTAAATTGAGTATCAGGGGGATCTACAAGCTACAATGAAGTATTTACACAACTATGACATAAAGTCATTATTCAATTGTTCTCAATGAGCTTCATCTTGAGTTAAACCCAATATAGCATTTTATTAAATGCTCTTTTACATTAGGATCCTGTGGTTTAGCTTCAGTTCAGAACCTTGGTTCAGGAGGATTCATTTGGGATCTTGGTTTGGGTCATGTCACATTTCTTACATACTTACAGTTAGGTCATGTTTTGCTTCTCACAATTCTCCTAGCCTGATTTTATATATACTACATATAAAATTATAACATTGGAGTTTAATTAGAAAATTCTTTGAGCTTTAGACATCTTTAAAGAATGATTTTGGTTAGAAGTACAGAGTTAAGAAGTTAAAACCAATTAGATCTTTTTTTTACTTTACAATTATGTTTTTTTTTTTTTTATGTTTTTAACTTTTATCACAGCTTTTTAATTCACAGACACTTTACTCTTTTTTGTACAGGTCTTATTCCTCACCAGACCAGGCTCTATTGTTACAACTTACAGGTAGGTTTATCTTACTTCTTGCCTTAAAACTTCAGCTTTGATATTGGAAGATTTTTTTTTTAGTTCATTACTCAGTCATCATCAAAATTTGAAGGCAGATTTTGAATTACTAGGTCCTTTATAGTTAAAGCATAACAAATATAATGCAAAAACATAAGTAACTTAAAAGAATGATTGAAAGATTTGTCTAAGAATCAATGATTCTATTGTTACTAAGATTCTGGTTTTAAGGTATACACAGGTTGAATAAATAAATAAAAAGTGAATAATAGATAAATAACAAAAAAAAATCTGCTATTATTTTATCCTATATCTGCCAAATAATGACAGCATAATAGTAATATAATAACAAAATAATAGTAAAATAATAAAAGGTTTGTTAATATAAGTAATATAATAGTAATATAATACCAAAATAATAGAACAGTTCTATTATTTTATTTTTAGTTATAAAGACTAAAAGTAAAATAATAGAACTGGTTTATTATTTTGCTATTATGTTATTATTATATTACTTATATTAACAAACTTTCTATTATTTTACTATTATTTTGCTATTATGTTGCTATTATATTGTTATTATTTAGCAAATATAAGGTAGAATAATGGTAGATTTTTTTTATTATTTAACAATTATTTACTTTTTATTTATTTATTTAATCTGTGATATCTTTATTAATATTTTATTTTTATTTAACTGTCTTTTTACTAACAGAAATTACAGAACTTTTATACAAAAAAAATATAGCAAAGGCTTTAATATATCCTAACTAAATTAAGTATTGGTGGAGAAGAAAAAAGGAATCTACAAGCTACAATGAAGTATTTACATAATTATAACATAAAGCCATTATTCAATTGTTCTTAATAAGCTTTATTTTAAGTTAAACCCAATATAACATTTTATTAAATGCTCTTTTATATATGAGATTTTGCAACTTAGTTTTAGTTCAGGATCTTGGTTTAGAAGAATTTATTTTAGGATCTTGGTTTGGGTTATGTCATGCTTTCTACATACCTATAGCTAAAACATGTTTTGCCTCTTACGATATTATATATTATATAACATTGTTATTGTTAAATAATAAGTTAGTTGCTAATTAGTTAAATCTTTCATATAACCTTTAGAGTTGGTAAATTGGGTCAAAAGAGACATTTTAGATTTGCTGAATAGTTTATCTAAAAAAAGATTGAGTCTACTGATGCAAAATGTTTTAGATTTAAGTAGATTAAATATACTAGTATACTTTTACAGAGTCTCAAATTAGGGATATGTTATGTAACAATGATTGTATTTAATAAAGTTATTTGTATAGTATTATTTAAAAGTAGTCTTATTATAAGTAATTATATATTATATATGTTATATATTGGTTATTAAGAAGAGTTATCCTTTCCAATGAACCTTTTCAGCCTTTATTTATAATTAAAATTTTCTATATACATTATGTGATAAATATAACTAATATTATTAATACTATTAATCAGTTATATATTACTAATATTTCACTTCTATTTGATCACTGCTATTTGTCACATTTGGTATATACATTATATGCACTGATTGGTCACATATAATAGATATAACAAATGCAATCAACTTCTTCTTTAATTAGATAATATCCTACTCTAAATAGCCAGAATCTATTCAGGTCTTATAACATATAAATTATATTATGACATTTTTTAACAATAAATATTCTTAATTATTTATATAAAAAATTATGAATACAACAGATCTGTAAAATAATTATGAATACTTTAGTAAGTTTAAGTTGTAAATAAATTAAATTAAACTAAGTAGTATTAGTAAATTTATAGTTTAAGTCTCATTTTTGTAAACAATTTGTAAACTTTACCTTTGGTCAAAAAAGTCTTTTATGAATTCTTAATACAAATTATAATAAAGATAAAGGCAAAATCTTAACTTAAAAAAAAAACTAAACTAATATAAAATAAATTTATTTTAAATAAAAAAACTTTTTTTTTAGAAGCTT